TTTGAGTTGTGGTGCTGGTGAAGAATGCTGAAAATACCATGGACTGCTAAAAGAACTAACAGATCTGTCCTGGAGGAAGTGTACCCAAAATGTTCCTTGGAAGCGAGAATGGCCAGACTTCATCTCACCTATTTTGGTCACATTGTCAGAAGGGACCATTCCCTGGAGAAGGATGTCATACTTGGTAAGGTGGAGGGTCAATGAAAGAGGGGGAGGCCTTCAACAAGATGGATTGACACGGAGGCTGTGATGATGGGCTCAAGTATAGCAGGGATCATGGAGCTGGCGCAGGATTGGGCAGTGTTTTGTTCTGTTGTGTGTGGGGTTGCTATGAGTTGGAAATGACTTGACGGCACCTAACAACAACAACAAGAAGACTGAAGAACAACCCCCGTCTAGGGTATGCTGGCCTCACAAGAAACACAACCATGGCATGGCTTTTAAAGCTTCCACTTGGGAGTGGCACATGTCAGTTCTGCTCAGCCTGATAGCCAAAGAGTGGAATGTATCATGGTCTTATAGAGATGAGTAGTGAATATTTGGAACAAACATAAAAGCTACCACATTCATTAACTTACTTTTGAGCCATACTGGCATTGTTTTCAACTAGGCAAAAGAAATGGTGAAGGGCATAGCTGTCAATTAACAAAAAACAGTGATTTCCTCATTGTCTTCAAACACTTGGTGGCAGCATTTGATTTTCTGATGTTAAATACATTACTGGGATGAACTCTATCTGGCCATACTTTTTTTTTTTTTTTTTTAAGTGTAAATGTCTTATAAACCATAAGAATGTATATGTTTTGGTTAAACAATAATAATCAACCAAACAGTCATATACACACTGCTGTGTCTTAACTAAGTAAAACAGTACCATCATGTTCAAAGCCTTCTATGTTTTGGTTAAACAATAATAATCAACCAAACACCCACGTACACACTGCTGTGTCTAAACTAAGTAAAACAGAACCATCATGTTCAAAGCCTTCTATTTCCTTCCCAACAAGTCCTCTTACTCCTTCCCAGAGCAACCACCATACTGAATTCGGTGTTAACTGAGACCCTGCTTCTCTTTAGAATCCTTTCTCTGACATGTACAAAAATCTCAGAAATAAGCTCAAATCTAGCATTTTCATGAAACTACATTATTTCTAGGAGAAAATACGGTGAATAGTCTTTGGGTCAGAGTCTGGGTTCAGCTTCCTTGACAATGTTAAGAGCCCTTTCTGGGGAAGTTAGGGACTCATAGTCTTGTGTCCTAGGAAACCTGAAGCTCACCAGTCAGGGCATCTGGCAAGATCCTGGTGTGGGTCAGATCCTGAATGTCCAGCAGCAACATGCTGAGGGGAATGGGCCTCTGACCTTGGGCATGGAAGAGAGAGTAGCAACTTCTGCATTTTGTAGATCTGACAAGTGAAGTAGGGATAAGAATCTAGTCAGGAACCCCGAGCATGAGCATTGAGTATTGTCATTAGGTTAGAAACACTGTGTGGTGTCTCAGGCATTCTAGTTTCGAGAGTTGTTAACATACTTGTGTCTTGAGTCATAGGGTTTCATTCTGACCTGGTCTTTTTCTTATCTCTGTTCTCTCTTTTTGGAGCCTGTATATATGGGTTCTATAAATGTCCAGTAGATAATAATTATGTTGTTGATACTTTTTATATCTCTAGATTTTTTATCTGTTTGTACTCTCAGTTCCTGGATTTTAGTGAAAAAATCACTCTCTGTGATTGTAGATTTGTAAGTATTTCCATGTAATTATGTCAAGTTCTATTTTGTAAATGTTGAGAGTATCTTGTTATGTGCCCACAAGTTTAGGATGACACTGTTTTACCAGTAAAGTGTTTTTTATCATCAAAAAATGATTTTCTTTGTCACTTACTACTTTTTGCCTTAAATCTATTTTGGTAATAGTATTTCATATTTTCTTTTAATTAACATTTAACTGGTGTATATATAGTAAATATTTTATATATATACACACACACATATACAATCCATTTACTTTCAATCTTTTTGTGTCTTTAGGTTCAAGTTTTAGGCTTTAAATATATCTATGTAGCATTTGGGTGGGTTTGTGTTAAATTCAATCTGAGAATCTCTGCCGCTTTAATAAGTGACTTTAGTCCAATTACATTTATTTTGTATAGGGATATGTTACACTTACTTCTACCATGTTACTTTGTATTTTCTATTTATCATATTTTTTCTTTATAGTAACATTTTATACTATTTTTAGCCACTTCCCTAAAACTTTCCTCCCTTGGTTTCCATGACCCTCTACTGTTACGGTTTTTTAT